ACCTAATTTACAAAGGGTCCCTGCAGGCCTTAAAGTTCACAATGAAGTACCTCAAGAGGAAGAAGCTTTCTGTAGACTTCAAATATGGAAATAGGAGAGAGAGAGAGAGAGAGAGAGAGAGAGAGAGAGAGAGAGCGCCACAACTATAGAGAGAATAGGAGAGAGAGAGACCACAACTACAACTACAACTAGTACAGGAAAGTAAGAGACCATAGACCTTCTTTAAATATTACCCAAAAGCCACTTGTAACTTGTAAGATCTACATCTATCTATGTACTTTCACACACCAAAGCAAAGTCAGATAGATTAAAAGAAAGCTGGACTGGAGCGTTCAACACGTTTCCAAACACGCCTTTCAGTAACAAACAAGGGAAACTCTGCCACCCACTATTTTCTCTTCCAAAGAATGAAAACCACTTGTCAAAGTCAAATTTCCAAGACTACCCATCTCACTAAATCTAAAACACACAGAAAACAGAAGAAGAAAAATAGGTTTTGCATAAAAACAAAGTTTTATGTCAATATCAAGGGTCTGAGTCTGACCAAACCCATAGATCACATTACAACAAATGGCTGATCAAAATGAGTAAAAGCTGGACATAACGCGTTTTTGGTTCATGTGCCACTACACAAACAGCATGTCTTAGTTGGTACTTTTCCATGGCATGTGATGTGATGTCGATGTAACTGAGTTTTACCATAGCTAGTGAAAAGGAAGCTTCGAAGTGCAGAAAGGACGCGCTTGGTGGGGTTTGGAGAATGTTTGAGTAAGATGAAAGCCATAGGATTGCAATTTATGCATATAAAATTGAAGAAAAGTGGCAGTTAATGATGACCTTGATTCAGAAACAAAAAGAAACAAATGAGATTAACGTGTTGATACCTGAGAAGATGCCCACAAATCAGCACAAAGAAAATCGAAGTTGATGATGGCGAAGAGTGAAATAAATTACAAATGCAACCAGACTCAGAGGAGCAGAGGCAGAGCAGCAGGATTGCATATTTATTAAGTTACCTTACTTAACAGGATTTGCATACATTCACTTACTAAGTACATGAATGTGGTCTAACATAAAAAATGTAAATGAATGTGGAAAATACAATCTCATTTCTAAATTCTAAATTAATAATGAACTTTATAAACGATACAAATACGTGTTATAATTTGAATGGACTTGTAACACAATGTAAGTATTACCATCATACCGCAACAATTGTTTGTATATAAATTCATCTCACATGCTATGCATGTGACATAATAAATTAGTGGAATTATCGTGATAAAAGTTGTGTATGAGATCGGGCGCACACAATAAAGTTTAGACTAACAGAATGTCATAAATGGGGTAGTTGCAAGCTTTGACTTCGTAATGATTTCCTTGACCTTTGGTGAATATTGGCAACAATATATTTTGCCTTCATAAGAGTTGAAATTGAATATTACCCAATTTAGTAGAAATCCTGCGAATAAGTCATTCGTTCCAAATAGGAGATGTGAAAAAGAGGGACTTTATTAGAGAGTACCGCCGGGGGACGCCAAAGACTTCGCCAATTCCTGCTAACCTGCTAAAAGGGTTCCAAGAATTGACTGACATCGTGGACTTATATCTACAAAGAAAGAAGGGGTGGACCAGAGGGATTCCCACGGGTTGGCCCAGTGGTAAGAGCGTTTCCAAGGCCCTATGTAAACGGGAGATCCTGGGTTCGATTCCTGCCGTTGGTGAATCAAGCGATGAGGGCCAGGGACGGGGTGAAATTCCCTATAGCCTCTCCGGGTCCCGGAAGGGGTGGATGGCCGTGGCTTGCCACCAGCAGTCCCCCTTTAAATAATAATTTTTTTTTTTAAAAAAAAAAGAGTTTTACTTTTATGAATGTAAGTTTGTTTTCTGGTTTCAATTTTAAAACATTTTCATAGGATGTGAGTTGTTATATATAATATATGGGTTTCATGGTTTGAAATCATTCCATTTGTTTTAATAGAATTTGAAAGGTAAGTATTAATGCGTTTTGTAAATAAAAATGGAAGATTTTATGAGTCACTTGTAAATATTTTATGTTTTTTCATCACGCTCCGATTGTGCCTCTAGTCATTAATCTAGTAATATTTATCTTCGAAGTTCAATTAATAAGTAATTCGCTAACTTAGATGAATAAACTTAGAGGACCCTCCACTCTCTCTTTCTCTAGTAACGATATGTATCAAGCAGAGTCGGCCCTGGCCCAGGGCTACCAGGGCCCCAAACTGTGGGGGGCACAAAAATATGGTTTTTTAGCTGATATAATTACATTTTTTTTAAATTAAAAAAAAAAACCCAAAACCGTTAGTGTCCTAGAAGGAAGTAAATGTAATCATTAATCATGGCAGCACCAAACCTCTTTGAGATTCTCTAGGAAACTAAATATAAATTATATAATATAATATTTCAAAGAACAAAAATTAATGAAACTAAACATATGGAAACAAAGAGTTCTTTAAAAAATACAAAAAAACCAAACAAACGTTCTTATCTTAGAGCATCTCCAACCAATGTGTCAAATGTGCCTCATAGACATTTAATAACTAGAAATAACATATCACATCACTCCAACCGATATGTTAAAGCTGATGTGGAATGAAGGCTGGAGGTTGAGATGTTATTTTTGACATCCCAAAAGCAAGATGTCAAATGAATATTTTATTATTTTTTTCTTTTCTTTTCTTTTTAATTAAAAATGAATCAACACTAAAATGTAATAAAATAATAATTTAATTTGACATATCGGGTGGAGTGTAAATCTGTGTAAGATGTCAAATTGCCACATCAGCAATCAAATTTGAATTTGATGTTTGGTATTTGACATCTCCCTTGGAGATGCTCTTAGACAAACAAAAAAAGACCTGGCAATGGCAGCAAAACACATTGGAAAGCTTTAGCAATTTGAAGGTCTTTTCTTTGTGTCATTCTTTTTTTATAAATAGATGTATAATAGGAATTTTGTAAGAGACATATTTGTTAACTTATTTTTCCTTTTATTTGATTTAGCAAAAAAACTCAACAGAGATTCTTGTTCTTCACAATTGGAAATTTGAAGTTTTGAGTTGAAGAAAAAAAATGCTCAAAAATCCAAATTTTATTATTCTTTATTCATTAGTTTTATTGTTATTGTTCGTGTTTTTATAAAACACCCAAAATGGGGGCTGAAATTATAAAAAAAAACCCAACACTCAAAACACTTTATAAACACACCCAAAACCCATCATTACACACACTCAAAACCCATTTATAAACACACACAAAAAATATACAATTGTTGATTTTGGGTGTATTTCTATGTTTAAATAGTGTTTTGGTTTTTTTATAAATACATGTCTAGGATTGAGTTTATTTATAAATTTGTAAATTAAAAACTGTTACCTAATAAAATTAATTTGTTGATAATATTTTTTTGTAATTTTAGTTTTTAATTTGTCTAAAAGGGCACTCTCTAGAAATTTGCCCTGGGCCTTAAAAAACCCCAGGACCGGCTCTGGTATGGAGGAGATTTGAGAGGTAACTAAGACAAGAAGTTTATTACTTAAGAGTAGTTTTAAAGAAAGAAAGCAGATCTAAGGTGTAAGCTGACTTGCTTTATAAGATTATGGCACGACTACGCGTCATGAGACACTAACATGTCTCCCAACCCAAAAGTCAATACTTGCATTGCATAAGAGCTTTGTTTATTTGCAGGTAATTAGAGTTGAGTTTGGAATTTAGACATGTCAGACAATTTACAAGATTAGAAAGCAAACAAGCACATGCAGACACAAATGAGAAATAGCACTTTCCCACCTCCACAATGCCAAAAACCCTTTTTTTCCAAAAAGAAAAAAAAAGTTGTATTGATCAGTTGTAAAGATGACAACGAGGGAGAATTGAGATTTTAATCTCCTTCTGAGAACATGCCCGATTGAGGACGTATAAAACAATGCAAGTCTCTAGCTTTTGACATTAACATTTACTTAACCAACGTCACTTACAAGGTAAACTACCCATCCGCATCCACCCATAACCACTTTCTTAAACCTAATAAACAACCCTTAACCACTCTCTCTCTCTCTCAAAACAAAACCAGAAAAGAAAAAAAAAGAACATGGGAGAAGCTTCAACACACATAGACCTAGCAACATTTCTGGAAATCCCAATTGAGAAAGACCCACAAAGAACGATCACTGCAACACATGATCGTCCTCCCCACACATTAAGCCCTATATGGAGGCTGAGCCCAAGGCACAACGGTAGCACCTTATATGACTCGTATGAGCTTCGAGCTGTGACTCACCAACTTAACAAAGCCATTCAAGCTTCCAAAGCATCGTCCCCTCATTACATATACTGCTTCAATTCACCCTTTTGTACGCCAGGCTTGAGTCGCATTTCCAAACAAAGTGTCAAGACACCCAAGAGATTTCTGTGCCAGCAGCAGCTGTCTTGTGCGGCTGCCACTGCCGACAAGAAGCCGAGTACAAGGCCTCCTGGGGCAGGTCCGATGGGGTTTGTGACAAGGGCATGGAGGAAAGTGAAGCGAGGATTTCTCAAGAACAAGCCAAGGAATGACTGATTTCAGGTCCTCACCCCTCCCCAACTTGCCCGGAGTTTGATAAACTATGTATAGCATAAAGTATTCTAGTCTGCCATCAAAACCGAGCCGAGCATGTAATTTCATACCCAATTTCAAGCCTTGTAATATATGATTTCCTCGATCCAAATGTCCTTATAAATCAAAGCTGTAAAATGCAAAAACAATACATAGCAGTCGGTCTTAGTCTGTTATCTACAAAACTGTGTGAAGTTCCCTTTCCATTGATGTTCAACAAGGTTCATTTACAACCATGCTCCAACTAGAAGCATCCTATTAAAACCACAAAAAGAAAGATACATGTGGTGATATGGTGTATACAACATGTCAATATTTCCGAAAGAAAGAAAAGGAAGATGCAATCAAAACTTTGATTACTAATCTAAGCAGGTAGAGGAAACTTCTAAGTCAGCCTCGCTCGCTTCTCCACTCCCCTTATTACATGGTTGGTCTTAGCATTCTCAACAACATCAGTGATAATGGCAGCTGCATGACCAAGTGGCTCCTCAGCAGCCCTCTTCAACATGAAGGCCTGAACACCAGATGAGATAATATGACAAAGTAGAGAAAGATTTAGCTATAAACTAGATTGTCATTGGAAGAGAATCTATAGGAACTATTGCAAGTAAAGCCTAAATTTGATGAAACTAATCAACACCCTTTTGTCGAGAGAGAGAGAAAGAGAGACCTGGCCATGGTGGGATATAGCCAATGTACAAGGTTGCTGAAACCAAGGCTCCCCATCAACCTGAACAGGCAATGCAGCAAAGAGATGTATCTTAATTGACTGCCCCTGGGCCAGTCTTCGAGCACGAGAAAGCCCAACCTGTCCCAAACAGAACAGCAGTTCAGAGACATATCCATTATAAATTGAGATTACCAAACTTTAGGGACTACAAGCCAAAGTAAATAATCAAAACAGCCAAACGAGTATTTATGCTAGAACAACATATCCTAATATTCTGGAAAAAACAACATTCCAATATCTAAGTATGTGTATCACATATTAAGAGGTAGAGCATCCACAAATACCCAAATACCTGAAGTTTCCCAAGGTGCCATGTTCCAGAAATGCTCACAACCTCAAGTATTTTATCATGCATAGATTGTGGATCAAAATTATCATAAGTTTCATCTTCATTTTGCCACAAATCTACACCGCCCATGTAGCTTCCAATATTCGCAACAAGTACACCTTCAGCATCCTGAAAATATGTCTAAAAATTAGAAATTGTCCAGCACTGATAATCTCAAAATTAGTCAACCATGATATATCCAGACAGCCAAAGCTCAAGCAATATGGTGATGATTTCTGAATCAGCAAAGTGTTGTGTCCTTATGGTTAAAATCTTTTCATACTCACCTCAGGGACCTCTATCTCAACACCATCTACTTCAACTCGAACTTGCCAAGGAAAATCCACAAATGTTCTATCCATTATACCCTTAGCACCTTCTCTTGCATAAAGGACTTTATTCATGAACTGCAGGTATATAACAATTGCAACAACATAACTGATGTCAACAGCTTAAGTAGGAAGTCTCGAAGTAAAATCCAAATAAAACTACTAACAAACAACAATTGTAACAACAAGCAGCAGACAGATTTAAAATGTGATCCACACAGGTTGAAGTATGATATCAACTTTAATTCCATTCTGATTTATAAGTTATAACCACATTTGATCTCGGACTCCAATAGTGCACTAGCCTCTGCTCCATAGTTCCCCTATTACTACTAAACTCAAGAACCGATCCACCAGAGTCTAATGCCTAGTACAGTGTAAGGGAGATTGATTTGAATTCCACTTTAGTTAAGGTTTGGCATTACCTGATTATAAAACTTCTCTGGATTCTCCTCCCGTAGATTATGAATGTCCAGAGCAACCTTTGCATCACACCCAATTCCTGCAAATGAAGCATGCCAGAGTTGGTTATGAATGCGAACACAAATGAGAGACCAGTCAACGTGATGTAGGGCATAAATAAAGCTGCATAGAAGTAATAATCATCCCCATGCAGTTAGTACAAAGTATATGTTGTTAAATCTCAAAAATATATTAGCCAAACTGACTCATCAAACAACCAAAATAGTCATTGGTTCATTGTAGACTGTTTTAGAATATCCGCAGAGTAAACTCCAACACAGACCATTAAGTTTTGAGTCCGGGCAAATTTTTATTTTTATTTTTCCTTTTTTTCTTACAGAAGAAATCCAATTAACAGTAACAGTATGTTATTTATACAGACTGAAAAATCAGAAGACAGTAAAGATGTAAAGCCAAACCAATTGGCAATATTTTTCATAATAAACAACAAACCACTTGATAACTGACCCAATACAACCAAGTAAGACTAGGGGCAGAAAACTAATGTGAGCTGATTTGAGAACTTTGTTGGAGCCATAACTCAAGTCAATAACTATAGACATACTAAGAACCTGAGAACCAGAAAAATCCAACCAAAATTCAGCACTCCAACTAACTACTCTGAGTTATCCCATTTATAAACCAGATGATCACAAGGTAATATGATTACTTACCGAGATAGTTGTTCATAAACTTTGGCGATTGAAGCTGCTTCCCCTGTTGATTTACAATTGCTACCTTCCAACGATCAAGAATGGTTACTGCAGCATGCTCTATGTGGTGCAAAACTGTGCAAAGGCCTCCTTGTCTCTCCACTGAGCCCAAACCACCTCCCCATGACAAAACTCTAGCTAGATCATTCCCCATTCTGGCAGGTAGAATAGCAACTGTATGAGGCGACAAAGTTTTGCTTTTCTATGGCATTCAGAACCCAACCAACAGTACCATCTCCCCCACAAACAAGAACTCTGAAGTGCGGCACCTTTCTGAATAAATAAAGACCCGCCTCCGGTCCTTGTGTTGAGCTCAGCTCAAAAACCTACATGAAACACAAGCACATGCAACAATTAAGCAACAATATATGAAATATCAGAACTATTAACCCAACTCCATAGAAATGAACTGAGGAGAGAGCCCAGCATGTGGTGTTGATAACCATCAAACATTAGAATTTACTGTTAGGACTTCCTGTTTCGCTAAGGAGCTAAACTAGTAAATCTTAATTTTTCAAACCCATGTAGATTTAAACCTTAAGCCTTAGTAATAACCTTACTTGGCTCATTTGAAAAGAAAAGAAGGGAAATCTTTTTTACACATTACAGAAATTTAAACCTTAAACCTTTCTTAAAGACCTCACCGGGCTAAACAAATGAAGGAAAATATATTTTTCCAATTAATCAAGATGGCAGAGAAATCAAACCTGAACAGGATTGAGAAGAATATTCAATCGTTGCCTCAGTGAATTCCCACGCTGAGCCCCACTCTTCTTGTTGATAAAAACTAACAAGGGTCTTGCATCTGGTGACAAATCAATCAACTCGTATTTTTGTTTCATCCCTAAAACCTGGGACTCAACCTTCTTATTTATTGCTTGACGAGCTCATTTTGAAACTAGGCTTAGAATCCAATTTCCTATCTACATCACCATCTTGGTGCTGCAAATCCACATTCAAAGTACCATTACGGTTTTCCTCAATTTCATGAGAACCATTAACAGCTTGATGAGTATCAGCTGTGCTTTCTGTGGACATATCCCCAGTACTACCACTATTTCCCGTATCAACAGAGGTTTCATTTCCATGCTTAGACTTCTTGCTCTGACTCCTAATAGTTGCACGTACTGAAGAGGCTATCTCATTGGCCCCCTGAGTAATGGAGCTCAAAAATCCACCAGCAGAAGTCTGGTTCAATTCCTTTACATGAAGAGGGGATAGAATCAACCTTCTGAATGGACCTAAATCACAAATATCACCTGTTTCATTGGACAAGCTACTGTGGCAATCAACATGTACCAGTCTTTGACACCACAAGCAGCACCATATTGGGGATCCACCAAGAAAAGACCCACTACATGGCTCTTCACAAAAGCTGCAGAAAGAAGTTTCATCCGGTTGATCTGTTACCTCATTCCAACGGACAGCCCATTGGTGCATCACCTGCTCATACCCCATCATGGATACACACTTGCAATCCTTGTGCGCACTAGAAGAGCAGCTTAGGTGAGACGCTGCACCACAAATACTGCAACGGTGACTAAAACTGTCTGAAGCTGTCATAGGTCCAAGAGTTTGAGAAGGGCTCATGGACTTTAAGCATACACAGCAATTCAAGTTCTTTCCACGAGATACCGATTCTAAAACCCAAGTATGAGGAGCTATAGGAACTTTGTGACGTGCCTTTGGATTTTTCTTTGACCTGGCTATTGCTTTCATCCAACTTAGATTGATATTTCTCCTCCATTGGAATGCGGAGTAGGCTATAGTCAAAATTCCAACTAGAGCAGCGATAAGGCAAGAGACAATAAAAAGGCGATCTGTGGGATTCTTGTTGTTCCAATTGGAGAAAAAAATATCAATGTCACCATCATCATCCATCCTCAATGACTACTTTGATCTACATTCACATAAGCATCAAATTGCCCAATCCCAGTTTAATTAGACTCAAACTCATATATCCTCCAATATGGTTTCATCATTCTATAACATTATCAAAAGCCTTAAACTCATTTGAGAACCCAACTCAATTCATGATGTGCAACAAAGTGGCGAACAATGCTTTTGATAGGTGCTACTTACTGTAACCGCTTCAACCTATAAATAACCGAAAACGTTTCACAAGTAAAGCAAATATCATTCCAAATATTTCTACAAAGCACTTGCTACCATGAGTAGTAGTTTCATATCAATAATCAGAGGTAAAAGCAAGATACAAAATACATGTAACATGAAGGAAATACAAATTCCCTAGTTCTATCATAATTTAGCGATATTTTTAATTTAAATGACAGTCTTGTTGGAGAAAAAAAAAAAAAAAAACCTCCATCTTTAGAGACCAAAGCAACACACAACCTTCACGCCACACAAAACCAGCTTCATACTGTACTTTCTATTCCAATTTCTCGGAAACCAGACGGAATAGTCTAAAAGCAAAACATAACATACGTACATACATTCTAATATGCAACTACGAATGCATATGTATCAGTATGTCTCGATTTTGAAATAATAATCAATAAATACATTGAACCGTGAAGATTTCGGAAATTAAAAGTGAAAGGATTAAATTTTTTGAAAAAAAAAAAAAAACGGAACTTACAGTGACGTTCCGTGGAGATGGAGATGGATCGCGCCGATCAGAGAAAACCCTAGCCTTAGCTTGATCCGCGCTGAGGGGGAAAGTTCAAAGTGTAGGAATCGAAACAAAACCCAAATCCAGGGAAAGGCTTTTCCACTCTTCTTATTTAATTTTTAATTTTTGATTTTTTTGGGGTTTCTTGAGCGCTAATTTGTATTAGTTTTAAGATTCTGATGCAAAGTGGTAGTCGAGTCTAGATGGCGCGTAGAGATACGAATCTATTTGTCGAGGCCCCACGTGGCCAAAGCAGAGGGTATGAGGTGGAGAGCTATTTGCGGGTCCCACTGCCCCAATACATGACAGCTCCCCTTTGGTTCGGACTTTTGTGGGCCGACACACATATATAATGAATTGAGAAAAAAAATTAAGATTAACACATTAATCGTTAAGCTTATCAAAACCTTTATCATTAGAGCATCTTCAATACCGATTTTAAATTTGATAGCTTATGTAGTAATTTAATATATTGTCAAGTATTTCTTATGAAATAATCGGGCTAATTTTTCAGGGCTTAGAATTGGCTCTAAATTAATCTATTTTACAAATAGACAGGCTCCCGACTTAAGTGCAAGTAGGCGAATTCACTATATTAATCAACTGGCCAAACCGATGTCTACCAGACTAATTTAATTATACAAACAGAAACAAATGAAAAAATCCAAATTTTTGACAAGCCGCGTCACACAATCAAAGAGCTCAGTTTTGGATGATTTTTCTACAAAAATGCTGCTGCGTTTTATGACTGGGCTGCTCTTGCCCTACAATTTAAATGCAGTGAAATTCCGGATAAGCTCAAATTCAATGGGCATTGGAGCCAAATTACATAGGCCCATCATTGTGTAGGAGTACGAGAGTAGGATTGGCCTTCAAGAACAAAACTTCAATTAAGAAAAGCCGAAGTCAACAAAGTAGCACATGGAAATTAAACTGAATAACAAAGGAAGCCACGTTCATGGTAATAGTGACAGGCACAACATAAAATGTCAAAATCCTTCCTATATCTGCTCTCAATCAAACTCTAACTGCAAAAAGTTTATAACCATTTTGCATCAATAATCAAAGACTTTCAAGTAAATCTCTTAGATTGCAACAGCAATCCGTCCAGCAACTTGGTCGAGATCCCGCTGGCCATTGGATGTGATTTTCCTTCCACTGAAACACAGGAACACAATTAGTTCAATAGCCAAAATCTTTAACTCGTGTTGTTGTTGTTTGTCATAATCACAGCCCTACCCCCCGAAATTTATATACGACACTTATGAAAGAAACTCACCCTTTGGTGTCAAGGTCAATAATGTTCATCTTCTGCAATTGCTGAAGTATATGACGAGCAACAGCGCCACTGCTTTTACAGAAGTGGGGTGGGCGACTGCCATTCCTCCTGCTTCCTCCATAAATCCTGCGGAAGGCACCAACACCAAGACCACCCCTCAAGTAGATTTTCCTCGCCATGGATGCTACAAAGAAAATTGATTTAAGATAAGCAGATGCACAGTACACAGTTTAGTCAGACCAATAATTGTTGGAGTTTTTGTGTGTGTGCATATGTGGAGAAAGGGAGAGAGAAGTCTGCATACCAGATCTAATATAGTACCAATCAGGGTCATACGGAGCAAGCTCCTTGAATGTACCAGTCTTCACAATATCAGTCCAGTCAGGAAGCTCAATCTATTAGGAAGAACAAACAAAAACATGAGAAGAGAATCCACATTGAAAAGGAACATAGCTGGAAAAAGTAACTGCTAGTGAATGAGGAAAGAGGAAAGGTTCATCAAACAAATGAAAGACACTAAACGATTGAAATGATCCACAGTCAACACCGGCAAAGACATATCTACATTCAAAGTCACTCGACTATTAGCACTTCTCTTTTTAATTTTCAAAATAAAAACACCTACATAAAAAGATTATGAAAGAAAAAAACAAAAAACCTGCTAGCAAAGAGTAGGTAAAAAATTGTAGCACCATCAACAGCAACAACTAGGTTTTTTCATAAAGTTATAGCAACCATTACAAGTACCCATAACGCACATAGTATGCCACCTATGTTATCACAAGATGCTTAAAACAAGTGATATTCTTGAAACAGAGCCTTAAGGGACCAAAACAACACAAGGCAGATATGGCATCACAATTTAATACCCTCAGTCCACCAGCACCATTGGATAGAGAAAATGGCATATGCAGTTAAGTTCTTTTTTATTTTTTGAGGAATTGTCATCCAATAATTTGGCTTTCTCATTATAAGCCAAAATCAGTGTCCTCTATTAAAAAATCTACATCTTTAACAACTCAAGAAAAACCAAAATTGACCCATATAATAGATCCAACGAATCCCACCAACGCAGCCTCCCATTTCATTTTTTCCCCCACTAATAACACTTACTTCATCATCTTATTTTCACAAAATCGCTTTCCT